GCACGAAGGGCATCCTGAGCCTTACACCAACTGAGACGTGCGGTAAGCTCTAGGAAACCCGAAGTCTTGCTCCCTCTCTACAAGGCTTATGTGCGTCCGCACCTCGAACACTGCGTCCAGGCATGGAGCCCGTTTCTGATTCAGGACATGAAAACGCTAGAGACAGTGCAGCGTCGCTTCACCAAGTGGTTTGCGGGTTTGAGACACCTATCTTACGACAGGCGTCTGGAAGCCCTAAACCTTTTCTCGTTGAGCAGGCGGAGGCGACGCGGAGACTAAATTGAAGCATACAACATCCTTAAAGGGTTTATGGACGTACCAGATGGAGCGCTGCTCAAACTCGGTGCAACAACGAACCTGAGAGGGCACTCTCTAATGCTGGTTAAAGATAGAGTGAGGACTCGTCTAAGAGCGTCCTCGTTCACAACGAGAGTTGTGAATGACTGGAATAGACTGCCGGATGAAGTCGTTGCTAACACGAATGAGATGAAACGATTCCGCATATGGATTATTTTTGGAAGAATAAGAGTAAAAAAGCGCTGTAGTTGGTGAGTCTTCGTGGCACATTCATTGGATTGTAACGGATTATTCGCTCAATCGAATTTTTGTTCCTGTCTTGATGCTAAGCTATTCAACCCCACCTGCGCATGCCAAGACCAGTACACATACGACGATGTGGCTCAGTAAACGGTTTAATAGTCTCAAAGATTTATTGGTTATTGCCATCCAGATCCTGAGGAAGTTATTTTTCTAAACATTTGGAGGTACATGAGACCATCTTCTATAGTTACGTGATAGTACACTTTCATGTAAATACGTAATTGTTCCACAGAGATAATAATAACAATGATTCATTTATTCCTTTTTGTTCAGTATGTAACTATTTGGTGTGATAACCGCAACTGAACTGATGCGTGTATGAAATGAGACTTCACCTTGTTCAAGTCAGTAACCTCAACTTCAAGGTTATTGGTTGACTTTAGCATACGGTATATGCTCCATCATTGGTTGAAGCAGCTGTTCAGTGTTTCCTAGCTTTTCAGCAACCAACAAGTTGACAGTAACATTTGAATAAACAAAAGCAGTTAGTGAATTACGGAAACCTTCGAGTTTGTCTAGATATCCGTCTAGACAGATGTCAACGTTCTTCTTTTAATACTAAACTGCATGCGACCGGACCGTTGCATAGCCAGTGAGAGAGAGACAGCTAGTTCAGAATGAGAGATAAAATTGCATTATTATAAAGATTAACGGATAGTTTGGATTAGAGATCATTCATCGAGAATACAACTTGTTGTTTTGGTATCTAAATGTAGCAGGGCCATAGGAGGAAGTGAAAAAAACACAGATTAGTTCAGAGTACAAGATTGCAATTTTGGTGCATATCAGCATCATGTAAACACTCCAACAATGGCTGGTTACTTCAATGTGAATTGTATGCAAGCCTATTCTTATGATGATGATGATGATGATAATGATGATGGTGATGCTTCATTTATACGGAAACCCTGACATGGTTCAATTTCTGTTTGAAGGCACAATTTTTTCGCACACATCCCTGGTGTTACCCTGGTCTAGAGAAGTTGTCACATAATCCACTACGAAGAACACTCCTACACCAGTTGGTACGTTGACCATCTAGTTACACTTTCAAATATACTTTGATTATCCAATTCTCCTGATCACATTGTGTTGCTGCCAACCTGCCGAGCATCTTTCACACACATATCCAAGTCAGCTGGGGTAACTTACCAATCGGCTGATTAGTTGCCGAAACAGGTCGATCGTAGGCATCTGTGGAACTATTTGATGATAACCTTTCAATGGCCCACTTTCTTCCCCCAGACAATTTTGATCAATAATGTTTTTATTGGATTTCTCTTAGAGCTAAAAAGTGCTTTTCATTAATGACAGACTGAGATTTAATCGGGAGACTACAAGGGTGAGGAAGAATCCACCAAGAATTACGTTCACTTCAATAAGCAATCGTTAAAGTAACCTGTTCCATTAAGTTCCATTAAGTACCGCAAGCTCAACTACTATTTTGTTTTAGATTACACTCCCAGACTATGGGCACCAGAACAAATAATGCTTCAACTACTCGACTAATCTGTTGGCGCAATTAGCAGATTACTTTTGTGGAGTGGTGGGGCAACAGATCAACCTCATGGAAAAGCTTACCAGACCCATATGGAACGGATCCGACGTTTTTCAACGTACGGCTTCATCGTGCGTAGTAGTATTTTCTACATGCTTCACTGATTTTCCTCGCTTCCGTTCAAAATACGTAGATGCGGTTGTGTCAAACTGCATTCACTAATGACGATTTAGTACATCGGCCCTAATAGGTTTGCGTAACTTCTCCGAAAACGAAGAGGTTTGACTGCCCCAAATGTTCCAAATGTATCTTCAACCTTTCGCGTTTGAAGCCACAAACCCAGCATCATACTACACTTTACGCCACTTCTATCCCAAGACCGGTGTCGGAAAAAAGATGATGGACATGATTTTGGACATCGATCTTTGAAGGGCGTCTGATATTCAAGTTTTGGGTGAATTGCACCGAATTTCCAATCCAATTCACGAATTCTGACAGCCTGTCATTTATATTTTCGCCTAACAGTGTCTCAATCCTTTGATCTGATAGTGGTTTCTCAGAAATGATTTCCAGTCCGCGTAAAGAGGAATGCAACGTGCAGCGTCTTGATCAATCAATTTTAACCGAAATCACATAAAGTGAGAGTGCGTAGTGGTTAGGCAGCACAGGTCGCTATCGATAGCGTGTTCCTCTGGGCCCCAAGGTCCGAGTTTTGAACCCTGTCACCGCAACCCAAATCTGATGGTAAGCAGCTTCGTTGTCGTTTGGTTTATCACCTCAAATCCCAAGGCTCCGATTGCCGCTTACAATAGGTCCTCGTTACCATGGGGTATACCTTTTCTATCGTGTGTAAAAGACCTCTTAATTTTCAAAGGAAAAAAAATGTCAATGAACTTACCCGCCCACATAGTCGAATACGCGTCAACTGGAGCACCGTGCACGTACTGGTGGACAGGAATCGATTCGGAGTAGCCATCCACTCCGGTTAAAGGATACAAATTGACAAGAGGCATAGATGAATCAACAGTTTGAGCATAAGCATTCGGATCCCCGCCATTTCCATATGAGTATGATTGAGACCTCGATCAGAGTGAATAGGATACGGCACCTGGATGAAACTGTGCATCTTTCGGATTGATCAAACCGTCGTCCATGAATAAACCCGTGGGATTTCCGAAGGCATCTGTCACGAAAGTCAAATTGTGACCGGAGCTGTAAGTAGGGTTTTCCTCACAGATCACAGAAGAACGGACCTTTGAACTGTAGCGTCTAGGACCCGTTCATTTTGGTGAGGAGGATTCATGATGTCGATCGGATCTGGTCGATAGCCCGATGTTTGTGGAACGGCCGAAGAACGTTGAGGACCCCGTTTAGCTAGTCTATGATCGTCCCGCGATCGCGGTGCAACATTTTCACCAGAGTGATTTGGACCTGCGTATCTCGATTGAGTATTAATCGGTGGTGGCTGCCGACTGACACACGGTGGTCCCTCTTGCTGTGGATTACATCGAGGGCGGGTGAATGTTCTCCGTGATGGATGACTTTGCTGTGAATGTATTCGAGTCGGATGCTCCTCACTCCGCATGTTTTGCAACTGTCTTGCACTGATACGCTTTGGAGCGACGATTCTGTTATCAGACGACCTACCTAGGCCGGTTGATTTCACGTGATTTACTCGATCTACATGATGGTTCGGAAAATGCTGTCTGTCAGTTTTGTTCTCCATATAATTTCCACCACTTTGGTTAAAATGAGCGGGTTCAGGTCGGCAGCGATGAGATGCTGGTTGATGGGTCGATCTTCGGTGACCAACTGTGAATCGACCACTGAGCGAGCGTGAGGGATGTCTCCTGGATTCGCCGTGAGAGTGATACTCAGTTTGTGAGGAACAATATGTAGATCCATATCGCCCGGAGCCACAAGCGAAGGAAGTAGGCTCATGCTGTTCATCGGAGCTCCAATTATCGGGCTTTTGATGACTATCTGTGGTCCGTCTGCGATTTCGCTCCACACCAGCTTGCGAATCACTGGCATCCACTGTAGATCTTTCTATATTATTTGCAGAAGCCTCTTTATCGTCGTCCTTCCGAATATCATACCCATATCTTCTAATTAACTCTACCCTACTACGAGGGGCTTGGTCGGAAACTGACTCTGCCTGAGGGTTTGCCGCAGTATTTCATCAAATATTGATGTGTAAATCAAAGAAGGCCCGGCGCAACTGCAACCANATTATGCCTATCATTTCTAATGTAATTAGCAAATTTTAGGCTGCAGAATATCGATTGCCCGGCATTCGTTGGAATTCGCGCGGTTGGGAGGGAGTACCAACTGATGAAACGTTGTCTCGAGACCATTCGGGTGGCTAACCTCTGAACCTTCTCGATGCACTGAATGTCTTTCTGCAGGTAGAATGCCCAGGCCTGGACACAGTATTTTAGGTGGGGTCTCACCAGTTCCTTATACAGCGGGATAATGACTTATGCCTTTCGATTTGTCAGTGTATTTCGCAACTGGAATGGCTGACCTCTCGCCCTTTCTGCTGTGGCTTTGCACTGTTTGTCTGGCTTGCAATTTTCTGAAACTCCTATCTCAAGGTCCTTTTTTGGGCTACGCGCGTTAGTTTGGTGGTTTCCGAATCCGTGCTTACACTCATTGGACCTCCGTCAGTGTTCAATATGTGATGCTGACAGTTTAAGGCCTAGGTCCAATATCTGAGTCTGACAGATAACCTTTGTTAGTTCTTCCTGTAGTTGGTCTCGCGGGCCTGAGTTAACTAACTTTACGTCGTCCACAAACACGAATGTCGGGATGGACAAACCCCTAAATAAGTCATTGACGTACAGCAGGAAAAGTATCAGGCCTAGAATAGAGCCCTGCGGCACCCCATTGGTGAATTACCTTCCGTCGATAGTGCCTCTCCTACCTGAACCCTGGTCTGCCTGTTCACAAACGCCCCTATCCATTTAAGCACAGGAAGACCAACATTCTCGTGCTTTTTAAGGAGTAATCAGTAATAGGCCGAGTCGAAAACCTTTCTAAAGTCTACGTAACAAACTTCGACTTTTTGGCCTTCGTCCAACTTCCTTGCGACTTCATCTAGGAAGCACAACAGGTTGCTGACACATAACCCCTTTTCGAGGAACCCATAGTATTTCGTGTTGAACGTTTGAAAATCCTCCCAAACCCATGATGATTTATAGTGACAAAACTCTATCTGTGTGTTGCTTCTCTATTGACATTTCTCAACTATAAACACCATACATCATTATTTATCTGTTAATTCGATGCCCGGCACATTTGAATTTCGCGTGATCAGAGAACGTGATGGACGATTTTAGAANNAAGGTTTTCTGTATTGTTTCATCAAATATTGCTGTGTACATCACAGAAGGGGCAGCACAACTGCAACCAGGTAATTACGCCTCTCATTTCTAATGTAATTAATCCATTTAAGGCTGCAGAATATCGATTGTCCTGTATTCGTTGAAATTGGCGCGGTCGGGAGGGAGTACCGAGTGATAAAACGTTGTCTGGTGCGCAACCATGACTCCCATGTGGGTCAAAGGGGACTGTATGTAAGTAATTGTCGTCTATCTTGAGTACAGGATGAGGAAGTGTGTACTTTGATGGACAATTTTAGAAACACTCGCGAGCTAAGAGATTTCGCCACACACAGGTTCCAGAGACCCTCAACTACGGCAGATATAAGATCCATACGTCAAAGAAGATCTCAGTCGGATTTGCTTGGCGATGCGGTGAAATTTAAGGATATGCGGGAGAATCAGGGAGAGGTTAGGATAAGGATG